AAAAGAATGCCTCCAAAGAAATAATACATGGGATCTTGTGTATTTAAATGAAGCAAAAGGAAAAGAAATAGTAACAAGCAGATGGTTGTTTAAAATAAAAGAAAATGGACATTATAAGGCAAGGCTCGTAGCAAGAGAATGTCAGCAGAGAAATGGTCTAGATTACAAGGACATCTACAGTTCCGTTATGCAAGCAAATTCATTCAGAATGCTTCTAGCCATAGCAGCTTCAGAGGACCTAGACATCATGACCTTTAATATAAAGTCAGCTTTCTTGTACAGTGATCTGTCAGAAGAAATCTACATGCATTTACCAGATGATTTCAAAACACAAGGAAAAGTCTATAAACTAAACAAGGCCTTATATGGATTAAGACAAGCCCCTCAACATTGGTTTAAACGCCTAAATGACTTTTTTAAAAAGGAAGGTCTCAAACAACTCCAAACAGATCAGTGCGTTTTTAAATCCATAACAAAAGCCAAATTATTCGTCGGAATTCATGTTGATGATGGAATAATAGTTGGAAATAAAACACAAATGAACCAACTATTGACAAACTCAAGTAAGCAATTTGAAACCACTGTAAATGATAAACCTGAAAACTATCTTGGAATGCAAATTCAAAGATCTGAAAGAGGAATACTTATCCATCAATCACGATATGTGGATCAAGTTATTCGTAAATATGATATGTAAACTTCAAAACCAACCAAGACACCTATCTCTCATCAAGACTATCAAGAGGATCTCAAACCATGTAAGACAAACTTTCCATACCAAGAAACCATAGGAAGTTTGTTATACCTGTCATGCAAAACACGACCAGATAAATTATGCCAGCAGATATACAAAGAAGCCAAATGAATCAAGATATTAGAAATATCGATATATAAAGGGAACAAGTGAAACTGGTATACTTTATTCAAATAAAGGAGATGCACATACTCTAGAAGTTTTTTGTGATTCTGACCATGCAGGTGAAGAAAGTAACCACTGGATATATTATGTTCTACGCAAATGGTCCTATTCCCTGGTGTTCACGGAAACAATCATGTGTAGCTCAACATTCTACAGAAGCTGAATACATAGCTGCAGCACAATGCTGTCAAGAGATGCGTTATGTCAAATCTGTACTGGAAGAGTTACTGTCAACAAAAATCGATGTTAATCTACATGTGGACAATACAAGCTGCATTAAGATGATAAAATCAAATCAATTAACACGGAAATGTATTTATATTAAAGTTACGTATCATCTGATCAAAGATGAATTCAAAAAGGGATGGTTCAAAGTATTATACTGCCCAACTGAGAAAAATGTTGCCGATATTTTGACCAAACCGCTGCAACCTACCAAATTTAAAACTCTCTGAGCAAATATTATGTTTAAAATTTTTTTTTTACTTTTTTTAAATTTAGTGTTTTAGATTATGACCTAAAAAAATATGCTTGTATCATTGAGGGAGTGTGTTGATATATGTATGTATACATATTTAAGTTGGCAATGTTACAGCAAATTTATTTTTAAGTTACTTTTTAGTTCTAAAGTTGGCATTACCGGCATTGTAAGAAAAAATAAAATGGCGCTGTCATTAATTAAAATGTAATGTGATATTTTAATGATATTCCTTATAAAACGAAAACTACAAACAATAAAACTTAATAATTAAACATTGGCTATTGTTTTTTAGGGAGGTTAAAAAATATTGTTTTAAAAAATAATTTTATTTTAACCAAATTAAAACAAACTAAAAATAAATAAAAATAGACTCTTAAATAAATAAATAATAAAAATACATAATTTTTAATTAGGTTAGTCGGTTATATTTATATATTTTTTTCTTTATTTGGCCTGAGCGAATTCTTTGATCACTGAATCACAGTTAAGTTTTTCGAAAGCTTCGTTTTCTATATACATATACTATAGTAAGTAGAGATAATGCATTAAGTCTAATTTCCCCATACTCGACCTTAAATAGCTTTTTATCCTTTTAAGTACAAAGAAGGAACGTTCTCCCGAAGCATTAGAAATTGGTATGGTTAGGAATATTTTAAGTAAGGTTAAAACATTAGGAAATGTTGCCTTGACACTCTGAATTACATAAAAATTTTCAAAAATGGTATTTTTATTTAACTGTTTACAAAATTCCTGAAAGTGCAAAAATTCATTTTTTGATGTTGCCCTGTTCTAGCAATAATGTCAGTCTTATATTTATCCTTTAGTTTATTTATTGACTCTGATATCTCGTTTTTATTTGTAGTAAAAAAACACTTAAAACAGGAGGTAATTACCTCCTCAATTAACTTCATCATAACAGGAAACTCTTCTTTGCAAATCTTGTACTATAGCATCACATATTACATAAAATACTTGGATTCTAAACTTTTCTCTACCTTTTAAAATCCCTAGAGACCGGATAAATAAGCACAATTTTTTTTAAAAGTGCTTAAAAAAGTATTAAAATATTAAATAAAAAGCTCTTAAAAAGCATGAAATTTGCCAAAAAAGCACCAAATAAACAAGTTAATTAAAAATAATTAATATATAGAGGCAAAAAAAGTTGTAATAATCTTAATATTGGTGTTTATTATTTAAATGATACATTTTATTATTTTTACATTATATCTATTATTAAGACCTAAAGGAATGTATAACTAGATGTTTCTCCAAATTTTTCATGGTAAAATTGTGTCTTCTGTCTCTTAGAATGTTTTTGTATGCAGAAAAACTACGCTCCACATCTACACTGGTTATTGGTACATATTTAAATTTCGGGATAATGGCTGGATCCATTTCAATATCGGAATCTTGCCCACCAATTAAAATAGATATTTTTTTCAATGTTTGGAACCCTGTATTTTTCGAGAGAGTCTGGACCAATTTTTCTTTAATTGTTTGACCAATAGATCCTGGAATAGCTTACTGCAGCTTCAAAACTTTTAATAACATTGACGGATTCCAATAAAGGTAGCTGTTGTTTTTCCAATAGCTGAATACTGACTTACAAATTTAAAAGTTTTAATAAAAGCTCAATTGTGTGCAAGTTCAGGTATTTTTACAATTTCCTGACATTCTTGAACTGCTTTGCTTTCTGTGCCTTTAAATTCAAGTACCAATCTCTTAAATTCTGTAAAATTATCGGCATAGTACCTACATGGCAGCATCTAGCCAAGTTCCCCATCTTGTTACAATTGGTTCTGGAGGTACTGGAACCTCAGACGTGTTCGAGCATTTTTTTTAACTCTTTTTTATACTCTTAATTTAAGACATAAATAAATTCTATATATTATTCAGAAATTGTTTAAATATGTTCTTAAAAAATCAAGCTATATTTCTAATAAAAAATGGCCTCATGAAGAGGTTCAAGAAAATATTGATGTTAAAATTTTATTAGGTAATTTTTTTCTGTCCGCTTAATTTTGCAATCCTGTGTAAGATTATATTTAAAAAAAAATAATCCCATAATACTAGATTGATTAAAATAAAGAGACCACTATCTAGGCGGCTTTTAATCGAAGGGAAACCATTACAGTATTGGGCTGAGAAAGTAGAATGTAAAGTCGAATAATATTTTAGAAATTAAAAGTTGTATTTTATTCCATTTATTTTTTGCATCCTTAAATTTTTTATTTATACCTTAAAGTAATTCAATTAAGTCAAAAACGAAATCTCTTCAAAACCATAAAATAAAATCAGTAATTTTTAACAACAAATAAATACTATAATTTTACTACTTACTTTATTGTCAATTTGTAGTTCCTTGTGACCACTAATCCACTCTATAATGGTTGGCTTTTGTTTTGGCAAATAATTACGACGTACAGCAAATAAAGCGCAAGTACAATAATAGAACCCCGTAACAAATCGTGTATCTTAACTAAACATTAAAAAGCAGGGCATAAAACAAGGCGAAACTTCGGGGAATTACCCGGGGATTCCCGCGATGCCTGGTGCTGTTACCGGATGTTCCTTTTTTATATATTTTATATGATTAAAAAAAATGTATAAAAATATGACATATTTTATATTATTAAAAAAATTTATAAAAATATGAGAAACAAAGTTTAAATAAGCACGAAATCGAAAAAAGCATAAAACCTTAAAAAAGCAAAAAAAGCATTAAAAACACTGCAATCTACTTAGTTTTGCGTAAATTCGTGTATAAATTAATTAGCTCTTGGTTGATTATAAAATTCAGCAATAAGCATCATGCTTAAAATCCGGTCTCTAAAAATCACCTCATTTTTTCTTGTTTAAGTGGTTTCGTCACTAAATATTTTTTTTTGTCTGGATCGCTTCACCTCATCTTTATAGAATATATTTTCTTTTATATATTCGTGATAACATTTTTTGCCTCTGATTCTATTTCACCAAATTGTGTCCTTATTTTTCAATAAAAATCAAAGGTGAAGACAATACCTGCACACCGAAAAATATATTTAGTTCAACGGTTTCTAAAAATTTATTAATTGCATTTACCCTTTTTTCCCATATAATGGTTAAAAGAAACGTTTCAAAGTTCTTAATTTTTTTTATGTAAACCAAGAGCTTCATTTCTAACAGTATGTAGGTTTCTAAAGGGTATTAGTACTAGGCTATTGCAAAGCTTTGTAACTCTGTTTTAAGCCATGAACAGCTTTATATCTTGAGACCATCTAGTTTCTATTATTTTTGTTTTAAGAAATCATTTTATTGTTTAAAAATGCATAGGTTCCTATAAAAATATATTTGTTTGCATAAGTCATCTATTATTTTGTTTCACTTCTTGTATAAAATTTTTTATCTAGTTTTCTAATAGACTTTCATTACATTTTTTTATAAATCGACTTCATATTTAAAGGATTATATTATGTGGTTACATTAAACACCCTGTATAAGTCAAAAAATATAAAAAATGTACTTACCGTTTACAGTAACAGATTTTTAACGCGATATAAATATTGTTTTAACTGGCTATAGGAACTAATACACCGCACCTAACCACAATTCACGGTACAGTCAAACTCACCATTATTAAGTGCCGTAAGTCAAGGCTCGCGTAGACTACCGAGGGCAAACCAGCCCGGGTGCTTGGTAGGAACTACTGGGATACCGCGGAGGCAGTCCTTGGGCGAGAAGGAGAGAGGCACTACAGCAAAGCTGCCCACGCACCCTTTACAAGAGGAGAGCTTAAGGGGGGCAAAAGGAAACGTGGTGGACCTCACGTACGACGAAGAAGCAAACACCACAGCCAAGTGCTTCAGGGACATGTTCAGAGCGATGAACAGGAGCGTCTCTTTGACGGAGCTGGGAAGTGCAAGCCCGTTCAGGGAAAGGAGTCCGCCGGGAAAAGAGCCGGGATGGAATGTCTCGTTGACAAGACCAAGTCCCATAGGAAAACCAGCGAAGAACCTTGCCGAAGGAATAAAAGGCGATGGAGGAAACCATTTAAAAAAAACAAACTTGAAGTCCAACAAGGGTAAATTGTTTACAGAACAAGGAAGGAAGACCCTAGTTCCGGTCGGGAACGGTGGTGGCAGTGCAGGCCCCACTCGATCGTCAACCAGCGACTGCACGGCCTCGGGGGCAAACCAGCCCGGGAGTCTGGTGATGGATACTGGGAAACCCACAGGAAGTAGAAGAAGCTCGGTGGACAGCGTAGAGTATGTGTGGGACGAGGAAGCCCAAAAGTCAATACTGAAATCAGAGGTATCAAATGTGTTCAAAGCTATCGCAAGAAGCTACTCCTTCACTGGAGCCAAGAAAAGAAAAGTGCAAGACACATCGTTGAGAGATAGGGAAGAGGAGATTTATAAAAGAAGGGAGTCGTCGGAAGCCTTTGTCCTCAAGGAGGCACTCGAGGAGATTACTAGGCTGTCAAAAATTCTGGAGGCTAACATCGAGCAGAACACCAAGACGGAGAATAAAAAGCTAGCGGTAGGGATGACAAAACATGTGGAAGTAATCAACAGGCAGACAATAAGGAACTGGATCGAGAAACATAGCTTCGAAGAGGGACCAAAAATGTTGTATAACGGGGAAACGCAGACGGAGGAAAACGGCACTTATGCGATTACAACGCAGACCGTGGAGCAGGGAACCCAGACGGAGGCGGAGGCCCCGAATGAGACAACTGAACAGCCAGATAGGAGGCAGTTGGTGGTACAGTGCGTGCCCCTAAAGCACAAAATGCCAGAGGGGACAGCCAGAGTGACGTTTACAACAGCGGAGGCCTTCGCGAGAGACTATCCTGGTGGCGAGATCCAGGACAGGCGGTCGGTAAAAAAGAGGGTAATCTCAAGCGTGGGCGAAAAAAGCGTGCAAGAGACCATAACTACGACATGGCTTCTTATACAGGAGAGCGGGGGAGAGTCACTGATATGCAGGCAGACAAGACAAGCTTGCCTTGTAGAGATGGCTGAGAAGTTAACAAAGGAGGGCTTTGACATACTTTCTATCAAGATGGTACAGACAAATCCATGTGCTGCTTTCGGTGCGGGAAGGAAGGCCACAAGGCGAGGGGGTGCACGGACAGAAAAAAGTGTATGAGGTGCGGAAAGGATGGACACAGGACGAGCGAGTGTGCCATCCCTACAGCAACAGGAGCAGCTGCGGAGACAGGCAAGGAGAATATGGAAACACAGGATTTTCAGCAGCTTCCCGCTCAGCACTCAGCAACAGAGTAGCAGAGACTGACGAAGATGAGCGGGGAGATAGCAGAATTAGATTCTTGCAGGCAAATCAAAACAGAAGCCGGACAGCGTGGGATCTGGCCCTACAAACTGCGGAGGAGCGCAAAATTGACATTCTGGTGGTGACAGAACCAAATAAAGCCAGGGCGAGAGCAATGGGCGCTGCCACGGACCTGCGAGGAGACGTTGCCATCATAGCTTTTAATGGGCTTAGGCTGGCGAAGGTCACAAAAAGGGAGAGTCTGCTGAGCGTGTGGGTTGGGGAAGTGCACCTGATTGCAGGGTATGCCTCGCCAAATATAGAGTCGGCACAATTTAGGGCTTTCCTAATGAACCTGGAGGAGACGGCCAGGGCGCGAGCAGAGCAGCAAATTGTCTGTGGGGACTTTAATCCAAAGTCACCTGCATGGGGAGGTCTTCGAGAGGACGCGAGGGGGACCGCACTGCTGGACACCTTCGCCGCGCTGGATTTGTATGTGATCAACACAGGTTTGGTGCCTACTTTTGCCAGGGGAAACAGTTTCTCCTTTCTGGACGTCACCGCCGTGTCCTTGACGTTAGCTGGAGCGGTAGAGGAGTGGAAGGTGCTAGTGGAGGAAAATCTTAGTGATCATCGGGACATCCTCTACGCGGTCAACACGAAACGACGGCGGGCAGCTGCAGCGCGTCCCCGATGGAGGGCGTCACAGCAAGAAGGCCAAAGGTTTTGCCAGCTGATGCGTGAGCACGCTGATAGGAGAGGTGGCTCGGTGGAAGTTGACCGGTGGATAGGGGCCATTACGGAGGTTACAGCTCGGACGCTCAAAAAGTCTGCCTACCACCCGCGGAGAAGACTAAAGTACTGGTGGACGGATGAGATCAACAGGCTGAGGGGCGAATGCACGGTTGCCCGCAGACATGTCACAAGGGCGAGAGGACGCGAGAAGCCACCGGAGGTCATCGAGGATTTTGCCACCACGCTCCGTCTGTGCAGGAAAGTGCTAAAACGGGCCATTGTACCTTCCAGGGTACGATGCTGGAAGGAGTTACTTGCGGAGCTGGACAACAACGCGTGGGGGTGAGGGTACCAAATAGTCGCTAGGAAATTTGGAGCTAAAGCCCCCAAATGGACGGGGCGGAACAGGAGAGGTGGGCTAGATCCTTCTTTTCTGTGGCGGAGCCTATGAACTGGGGCGCTGAAAGACCCCAGCTGGAGGATGTCCTCGTGGTGACAACGGAGGAGGTCCAGGTGGCGGCAAGACGAATAACTGCAGGGAAGGCGCCGGGGCCGGATGGAATACGGAGGCGGTGAAATGGGCGGTAGAGGCCGCGCCCGAATGGGCGGCCGCTGTCTTCACCAACCTCCTATTAAACGGAGGCGGGGGAAAACCTGTCGGAGCGACAATTCGGCTTCAGACCGGGCAGGTCGACAGAAACGGCGTTGAGGGCCCTAGGCAATATTGTAAATGATGTGTGCAGGGTGTCATTTTACACACAGAAAGATATGCGCCCTGGTGACCCTCGACGTGAAGAATGCTTCCAACACAGCCCCCTGGAGGGCCATCATGAGCGAGCTGGGGAGACGGGGTATATCCCGCTACTTAGTGGAGCCAGTGGCCGCGTACCTACGAGGCAGAGTGATGGAACTGGCCTATGTCGTGTGGAGTGCCGCAGGGGTCAGTGCTGGGACCTCTGCTCTGGACGGTCATGTATGACCCGGTCCTAAACGTGGCAGTGCCCGAGGGTATTACCTTGCTGGGATACGCCGATGACCTGGCAGTGGTGGGGGTTGGCAGGACTCCACAGGAGATCGAAAACAGGTTGAACGCAGCAGTGGATAGTGTGGGCATGTGGATGCGTGACACGGGGCTTAGCCTCGCGGCCCATAAGACGGAGTTGGTAATCCCGGCTTGGAGCTTAATGTTGGAGGATGCAGAGTGCAGTCCTCAACGGCCCTCAAATATCTGGGGGTGTGGATAGGGCAAGGCTGGAGCATGGCAACGGACGTCGTACGGACCGCAGCCAAGGCGGAGAAGGCGGCTACCAACATCGCGCGGCTAATGCCAAACGTAGGTGGCCCCGAGAGCTGGGGTGAAAAGGCCAATATGTAGCGCCGGGGCATCCCTGATGCTATACGCTGCTCCTTTTTGGGTGGGCGCACTGAAACATCAGAAGTATAGGGACGTGGTAAATAGGCTGCAGAGAAGGATGGCACTCCGGATATGCAGCGCTTAATTACCGCACCGTTTCGGGCGTAGCGGCCATGGTAGTGGCAGGGATACTGCCTATGGACATTCTGGCGGAGGATAGAGCGGCACGGTTTGATGCGGGGACCAGTGCAAGAGACGCAAGGGAGGCCTCTTTGTTGAGCTGGCAGGAGCGGTGGCAGACCGTGGGAGCATGGATGAGGAGACTCATCCCCTAGGTAGGTCCCTGGTACAACAGGAAGCAGGGAGGTGGATTACTTCCTCACCCAAATCCTCACAGGACATGGGGCGTTTGGGGCCTACCTGCAGGTACAGGTTCCACAGAAGGGACTCACCAGCTTGTCTAAGCTGTGGGGAAGAGGAGGATACGGTGAAGCATGTAGTATTCTCATGCCCAAGATGGGTAAGGGAGAGGACAGCCGCCTGGATTGCTGTGGGGAGGCAAGTTACGCCGGAGCAATTGGTACCCATCATGCTGGAAGGGGAACAGGAGTAATCGCGGGACTGGCGGCAGCGATGTTGAAAGTTAAGGACGCAGAAGATGCGACGCTCGTCTGAGAAATGGGAGCTACCGTGGCCTGCCAGAAGTAATGCATACACTTTACGCAAACATGGGTATAAATCCTTATAAATTAAAGACACCTAGGCGACATAGATCGCTGCATTGAATTTTGCGAGTATGTGCCTTATTCGCAAAAAAACATGATGATAATTTTATCCCAAACATACTTTTTACGGATAAGTCGACTTTTTTATTACATGGTCGTCAAAATTTTAAATACATCCGCTGGTGGGAAAGAGAGGGACCAAGCTGAGCAAATTTTCGGGAGTTACAAGAGCCAACATGTTTGCTGAAAATGCAATCCGGCTACCTAATTGCTATTGACTTTCGCAACAAAAGACGGAAATTATTAAAACCGAAATCGAAAATATGCTAGACCAAATAATTGTTGAGGAGTGTGACAGTTCGTAGGCTTCTCCGGTTGTTCTCTTGACCAAAAAAAATGGAAGCCCCCCGAGTTGTGATCGATTACAGAGCCCTTAGCGCCATTTTGATCCTGGATAGTTATCCTTTGATTGATTGACCTGTTGCACTTTGGTAAGCGATCAAACTTTATAACAACCATTGATTTAAAAATGGTTTATTGGCTTGTCCCCTTTGGTTTATACCGCTTTATAAGGATGCCATTTGGTCTACAAAATGCTCCCGCGATGTTTCAAAGGCTCATGGACCGATTGCGCCGTGGTCTTGCGAATATCTTCCTCATGTCATACCTCTCTTATCATCTCGGACAGTTACGAAAACCACTTAGACTTTCAATGGTGCTGCAACGTCCAAAAATTAGTAGCCAATCGGAAGAAATGCAATATTGGGTCCGCACATGTAAGGTACCTGAGGCACGTGATCACTAAGAATGGATTTTGCCCAGACCCCAACAAGATTACTGCGATCACTCAAGTTAAAGTACCAACTACGGTCAAGCAATTATTGTCATTTCTGCAGCTTTGCAGCTGGTTTAGACGTTTTATCAAGATTTTTGCTGCAATAGCGCGACCTTTAAGTAGGCTAACACTAAAATCCGGTCAGTTTATTTGGGAAGAACCGCAACAACTTTCGTTCGACGAATTAAAACACCGTCTTGTAACCGATCCAGTATTACGAAAAGTTGATCCGACAAGTGCTCTAGTGTTTTCGCTCTAGGGGCTTGTTTAATGCAAGGGGAAGCAAAGAGAATATGTGAGGAGAACCCTGCTTTAGAGGATATGTTGATGGATCTACCGTAGTTATTAAATCTAATCACCTACCATTGAAATGGTTAATGTGTTTAAAATCCCTAACTGGTAGATTGGCACCATTGGTCCTGCCTACGTTGTCCCAAAAGGACATTCGAAAAGCCCAATTAGAAGACAATGAAATCCCTTTGATTATTAACTGGTTCGAAAGCGAGAAACCTGAAGAAGTTAATCTTAAGCGCTGGACCGATCGTGGCTATGCACTGCTCAATGGCATCCTGTTCCGTTGCACCTCAGAATTTGAGACCCAGCTCACTCGTTTTTGAAATTTTACAAGAGTACCATAACAACGCTATGGCCAGACATAACTGTGTCGACAAGACACTACACAGAATAAGTCGAGATCTTAAGCGGATGGCAAATACGCTTAAAATTGCCAGTGAAAATTAAAAAAGACTCAAGATCATGTTAAGAAAAGCGCAAATCAACGATTCCAGCTGAGGAATTCCAAGAGGGAGATCTGGTCCTGATTGACGTACACGTTCTTAGTTAATCTTCAAACCAATTTACCTCAAAATTCGCCCCAAAATAGAGATGGGCCCAACGTTTTTACGTAAGATCTTGCTTACGTCCTACCAAATAGCCGCTACAGATGATCCGGTACTTAGCATACCTCCGCGATTTGCCGCTTTGTAGAAACCAGTAAAATTTCTAGGCCAGTTTTTCCGATAAGAAAACGAGACCGACCATCCAAAGAGAAAGGAGATAGAGAAAAGACACCAGAGGCAGAACTCGACGATTCGAGTACTGCCT